TAGAACACTCCCTAACATCATACACAAAAATAAACTCAAAATGGATTTGAGACCTAAATGTAAGACTGGACACTATAAAACTCTTAGAGGAAAACATAGGAAGAACACTCTTTGACATAAATCACAGCAAGATCTTTTTTGATCCACCTCCTAGAGTAATAGAAGTAAAAACAGAAATAAACAAATGGGACCTAATGAAACTTCAAAGCCTTTTCACAGCAAAGGAAACCATAAACAAGACCAAAAGACAACCCTCAGAATGGGAGAAAATATTTGAAAACGAATCAACAGACAAAGGATTAATCTCAAAAATATATAAACAGCTCATGCAGCTCAATATTAAAGAGACAAACAACCCAATCCAAAAATGGGCAGAAGACCTAAATAGACATTTCTCCAAAGAAGACATACAGATGGCCAAGAAGCACATGAAAAGCTGCTCAACATCACTAATTATCAGAGAAATGCAAATCAAAACTACAATTAGGTATCAGCTCACACCAGTTAGAATGGGCACCATCAGAAAATCTACAAACAACAAATGCTGGAGAGGGTGTGCAGAAAAGGGAACCCTCTTGCACTGCTGGTGGGAATGTAAATTGATGTAGCCACTATGGAGAAGAGTACAGAGGTTCCTTAAAAAACTAAAACTAGAATTACCATAGGATCCAGCAATCCCACTACTGGGCATATACCCAGAGAAAACCATAATTCAAAAAGACACATGCACCCCAATGTTCATTGCAGCAAAATTTACAATAGCCAGGTCATGGAAGCAACCTAAATTCCCATCAGCAGACGAATGGATAAACAAGCTGTGGTACATATATACAATGGAATATTACTCAGCCATAAAAAGGAATGAAATTGAGTCATTTGTTGAGACGTGGATGGATCTAGAGACTGTTATACAGAGTGAAGTAAGTCAGAAAGAGAAAAACAAATATCATATATTAACGCATGTATGTGGAACCTAGAACAATGGTACAGATGAACTGGTTTGCAGGGCAGAAGTTGAGACACAGATGTAGAGAAAAAACATATGGATGCCAAGGGGGGAAAACCGCCATGGGGTGGGGATGGTGGTGTGCTGAATTGGGCGATTGGGATTGACATGTATACACGGATGTGTATAAAACTGCTGACTAATAAGAACCTGCAGTATAAAAAAAACAAACAAAAACAACTGATACTAAACTTTCTTTGGGTTACTTGTATGGAAATATGTTAATATAAATGCTTCAGACATTACATGAAATTTCTAAAAATCTTATATGTTCTGGTATAATGTTATAAGTCATTCTAGTTATTACTTTAAAATATATATCTCAGAAATAACTAAATTTCCTTGTCAATTGCATTATTATGAACTTTCATCAAATCTTTAACCATGGTCATTTTTAAGTCTTTTGTCATTTGCAGACAGTTCTGGGTGTACTCTGATGCTTTTGCAAATATATTCCTATAAAAGGGTTTCATCTTCAAGGAATTCATGGAAAAGACTCTGACAAGTACAGGTTTCTGGTAACAGACTATACTGCTGAACTGAATGAATAAGCATTTTCAGAACTCTAATGGAAAACTGAAGAATTTATAAAAGTGCTAACAAAAGATCAAGATGAAATAAAAATTAATTACATGGGACTGAGTGAACTGATGAGGATGATTATAATTTTTGTGACTTTCTGTTTGAATAAAAAAAAAATCCCACAAAGACTCAGAGGCAAAAAATACACAAATCAATTTTCACTGCAAAGTAAAGGAGCTGTTACAGTGGAGGATTACTGGACTGAATGTCAATATTATGACATAGTGTGAGTGTGTTTCATGTTTGGTAATTGCAATCATTGCTGCTTTTGTTGTGGTCATCCATTTACAATGCTTGATGTCAGTTTATCTCTTGTAAAAATAAAATACAAGGTGTGTGTGTGTGAAAAGAAGAAGTATAAAAAAATACCAAAAAAAAATTATTTGAGGATACAATCCAATGAAATGATTAAGACATTCAAGAAAGTGGAAGATTTGGAATCCTTAACAATGCAACAAACATCGGAGTTCAATTAAAAACAACAAAAACAAAAGTCTCAGATCGCTGTGCTCAGAAAGCTATATATTAGTGAAAATTGGAACAAAAATCCCAATTCTTCAAGGAAAAGAATGTTTTCAAAAAGTGAGGAATTTGCATTCATCCAATACTGCATTTAAGCTAGGAAATTTTGATGATCAACGTGCTGTTTCTGTTTTTAAAAAGTAACTAGAAAGTTTGAAACAAGGTGTAGAACATGGCCACCCAAATATAAAGTAAAATGAACTCTGGTATCACTTTAAATAAAAATCTGAGCATGACTGACAGTGTAAGAGAAGAGAGCTTTTCCTCCTGGTACACAGGTTTCATGTCACAGAATTATATTTCCAAACTTATTAATGAGTGCAACTGAACTACTTAGTTCCACACTAATTATTTCCTAATCATAATAGTAACAATAACACTTATTTAACACTTAATATATGTCTTATTCTAAGCTCTTTAGATTTATTAGCCAGTTTAGTCCTTTCAACAACAGCACAGTAAAGTGACTTGCCCAAGGTCACACACTGGTTGGTGAAGCCATTCTGGCTCTAGAATCCTTGCTCTTAAAAATAGGCTATGCGGGCTTTCCTGGCGCAGTGGCTGAGAGTCCGCCTGCTGATGCAGGGGACGCGGGTTCGTGCCCCGGTCCGGAAAGATCCCACATGCCGCGGAGCGGCTGGGCCCGTGAGCCATGGCCGCTGAGCCTGCGTGTCCGGAGCGTGTGCTCCGCAAGTGGAGAGGCAGCAGCAGTGAGAGGCCCGCGTACCGCAAAAAAACAAACAAACAAACACAAATAGGCTGCGCTGCTCCTCATGATGCTCTTTGTTAACTTACAATTCTTAGAATCAACCTATCCACCTAAAACAAGAAGGCACAGCAACAATTATAAAACAGAATACAAATTATATATTAATAGAACTTAATGTAGAAATGATTAACCAAAGTAAGGAGAAGGGGAGGAATGTGTAGGTGAGTTATTTTTCTTATCCTTTTACATAGGAGTAACTTTCTATGTAACAGAAGCATAATACAGAAATTTCTATATAATAGAAAGTCAACAATAAACTACATATATGCAGTATAAAATAATGATATAAAAACCAGCAGGGAGGAGAGAGATAATGAACTTGAGCTAAATTCCTCATATTTCACAGTAAGTATGATGGTTAATTTAATGAGTATACAGCATCTGTCAATAGATATTGTCTAATTTTAATTTAAATGTAATATATAACTTGTATGGTAACTCAGAAAATCTAAAAACAGAAAAATTCAAGTTGATATATTAAGAAATAGCAATATAAACAAATTATTCAGAACTTTGGGAGGAATATCAGAAAAACTAAAAATAGAAAAGGAGAGAGACTGGGGAAAGGGAAGAATCTTTCTTTTGTACCATCCTAATTTTTATTAAAATGATCAGATATTACTTTATTATGAAAAATAATTATATAATACTATTAATAATAGTAATATCCTGTAAAGAAGGGCATAATAGATGAGAGTACCTTTCAGTTCTGGCATCGTAATACAAAAAGACAATAAATGTCACCAGACCATGAAACTCAGTGAGGTACAAAAAGAGGAACAGGGGGAAAAATATATATATATATAAACATATTACAGAACACTCATGCTCTTTGCAGATTCTTTGATTCCACATCATTATGGGCTAAGTGGCCCATTTTTGTCATATAAACTTCCACAGAGACATTTCATCCGCTTTAGACAACTACTGAGCCACACATACTCCAATCCCCAACTTTGCACATTTCATTTAAAGAAAGGACTGTCTAAATTCACACATCGCGGGCAGGATTCTACACTGGCATAAAGTTTTCAGGGAATAATTTGGTAGTCCTTACTGGAATGTAAAATATGACCACGCTTTGACCCAACAGTTTCACTTCTCAGAATCTACCATACAGGAACATTCCCAAATGCTCAAAGATAACTTTATACACGGATTTCCAATTAAGCTATTACTGTTTATAACAGAGGAAGCCAAAAAACAACCTAAATGCACACTGGTAAATGCAGAATATTTCGTTGCCATTTAAAAAATGAAATATACATTTATACGAGTGGCACTAAAAGGTATCCGCAACCTTTACAGAGCAAGAAAAAGCAGGATAGAGAATAATATATTAACCAATTTATGTGTGAGATAGATACATGTCATATATTGGTCGGTGTGCAGTGGACTTAGGGTGTGTGGAGGACACAAGTTTTTACTTTGTACATTTTTTGCTTTTGTTTTTGATTTTTTACAGCCAGCATGTATTATTTTTATATTTTAAGAAATCAGAGCATATCTCAACTGTCATATATTCGGGGCTTTAAAAAAAAATCAAAAAGAGAAACGCTCAACGTTTTTCCATTAGTTCATTCTCAAATCGAAAAGAAGAAAAAAAAATACACTAGATAGCACGTTGCAATTTAGGATTAGCGAAAAGGGTAGCTTCACTGGTTGGGTCATTTTTTAGTGAATCGGGGCAAGAAAATGAGGGCACAAAAACAGTCAAGGCAGAGTTGAGGAGCGAACCCTGGAGCGGCGGGGGACCTGGCAGCCCGGGGACCCGCGCAGGGAGGACGCGGAGGGCGAGGGGGACCGAGGCCCGAACGGGGTCCTGTGTTTGTGGGAAAGAGGTCGGAGGAGCAAAGACCGAAGGGGCGGGAGGCCGGGAACCCAGCCTCCAACTAGCGAACCTGTCGGGTGCGGGAGGCGCGGCTGGGGCGACAGCTGGGCGGGCAGAGAAGGGTCAGCCCAGGGCGCCCGGGGAGTTCAGACAGCTTGTGAAGCCCGAGAGCCGGGCAAAGCGCCCGGGAAGTCGCGGCGGGGACTGTGGGGCCCGCCCCAAGCCGAGGCCGAGGCTGAGGCCAAGGCCAAGGCCGAGGCCGGGGTGCAGGCCGGCGCAGCTCCCAGTACCTTCCCAGGAGAGCTCTCCTCCCGGCTCGCGCTTCAGGAACTTGTACCAGAACGTGTCCACGCGGCCCGGCTCCGCCCCGTCCTGCGCCGCCTCCTCGGCCGCCAGCTCCACCTCCCCGAGCCACAGGCCCGGTTCCTGCAGCGCCAGCGTCCCAGCACCCGCCGCCGTGCCCGCCGGCCTCAGGCGCACCGCCCCGCGCGGCTGCCAGCGCCCCAGCTCAGGCCGAGACCCCACGACCAGCAGCTCCGGCCCGGCCCCGGCCACCGCGGGCGGCACCACCACCCCGAAGCGGAACCGCATGGCGGCGGGCGGCGCGGCCCCCGGGTTCCAGTCTCCCTGTGACCGGCGGACGCGACCCGAGCGCCAGGCGGCCGCGGCGATTGGGCGGCGGCGCGCGAGGCCTGGACGCGCGAGGCGCGGACGCTGGCGGGGACACGTGCGATGCTGCACCTGTTTTGGGCTGCATCACGCGGCCCAGGAGCCCGAGGATGATCCAGGCCGGGGCCTTTGGCCGCGGGAAGTGGTCAGCTGGGGCCACCACCCGTCTCTCCCGGAGAAGGAGCCTGGCCCCTGCCCGCTGCCTCTTCCAGCGGCTCCGCGGACGGCTAGGGACGCATCGGAAGCAAGGAAAAGGGGTTAGGAAAGGAAATAAAACATCTCATAAGCCCCTAGATTTTCCAGTAATCTTTACAAAAACCTCGAAATTATTTTTGTGAGGGTCGTAGGAAGAAGAGAATGGCATATAGAAAGCAGCCTCCACAATAGTGAAGTTGGGGAAAGATCCTGCAGCAGTGTCTGGAGAGCTCCGGACCTTCAACAGGTCACTTACACTCTCTGGGCCTCAGGTTCTTACCTGTAAACTGAGGGTATAAAATAATGATCTTTAAAGACCCTGCCGGCTCTAAAGTTTTTCTGATTAGTGGAAGAGGCGCCATTCAGAGCCCAGAGCTCGTGCAAAAACACTGAATACTTTTCCCGTGCATAGACCAATTTGATGCCTGAAATGACACATGATCACTTTCTTTTTTCAAAAGAGTGTTATAATACTTTTAGTACGTATAAAAATGGGTTTAAAGTAAATATTTTCAAGCCTTTCCAAAATCCCAAAACGGCAATTCTATGACTAAATATATGACTGATAATTTTTAAATGGCATAAAATAAAGCTTGTTGCTTTGAATTTGCTTTCAGTAAAAGTCAGTAATATTTTTTCAACTTAAAACATCATTCTGTGTCCAGAAACACAGGCTTATAGTTATTTGATCAAAAGAAAACTGTTAGGGGTAGGGCACGGAGGAGGGGGGCTTTAATTTTGGTCACTGCCTTAAGAAAACCACCTGTCCTGTTTACATAACCTGTTACTTTTTGATTCTTTATTAAAATTGTTCTCGTGGTCTTAACATTTCTATATTCATCAGCACTTAACATAGCAATCTTATGTGAACTAAAGACACACAAAGACACGTCTTTACCAGTATTGGAGAGCTTGTGAATAGTGGGGGGAAAGTCAAAAAATTTCAGACATTCAGAATATCATAAGTAGAACAGAAAGAAGTACAAAAATGTAAACCATACAAACTCAGTCTCTCTGTGTAACAATTAGTAAACTGTTAATACATTTCACTTTAATATCGATATTCCACTCAGTGTTTGGTTAGTTGCTAAGCTTAGGGATAAACACAAAGAAAAATGTGAAGACAGCAGGGCTGGCCAAATACGGCTGATTCAGTAGCAAAACAGACATTAAATCACAGTGACAAGTGAGTCCGTTTATTCAAATTGCTGCTGCAAAATATTCTTAGAGTAATTTTAGGAAAATAAGAGTCATTTGGCCATGCAAGGACCCTGGAAGTTGACAGTTCAGAACTTTCTTGTGTTCTGCCATGCTGCTGTGTTGTGTACTTTCCAAATGGCATTATTCCCATCAGCTCTTCCAAAGGGAATACTGCCCATTCTGTAGATGAAACAATGACAAAAAAGAAAATATATTTTTTCAATAGACATTATTTCCTTTTCTCCTCTCTCCTCGTAAAGAAGTTGCGTAATTTTAACAGTTGGAAGCACCCTTTTAAGCCCGTAAATAAAATTTATAACAGCTTATTTTATGGCATGCATGGATTTAAATATAGTACGAATGTGACGGCTACATTGCGCCCCAAGTAAAATGCAATTGGAAAGAGAAAAATACCAAAATACAAAAATACATATTTTAAAGTCTCAATCATACTTTGACTGTCAATCATTTTAATTTGTTAAATATGATAGTTATAATAGTTACGGAGCCCTTTTTATGTGCCAGATACAAGGTTTTCATATTCATATTATCTCATTTAATTCTCTCACCAAACCTATGCGATAACTGCAATTGTTATCCCTATTTTTATATGCGAGAAAACAAGCAAGAAAGGTCCAGTAAACAGCCCACAGCAAGGAAGGGGCAGAGCCAGATGCTAAAGGACACCCATTCATCTTATAATTAAAGATAACATAATATAACATAACATTTTATTTCTGATAAGTAAATCATTTACAGAATGCATTTAAATCCCAGCCTATTTAAATAAGTTATTCTCCATTAGTTCTTAATTAAAAAAATGAACTTTCTGTAAATATTTCCTGTGACTAAATTCATGCTTAGGAATGATGGAATAGAAGAATCATAAGTGGCAGTCTAAACTGATCAATGAGATCTGTAAAGACATAAATATCTTGGTATCTAAAGTGGATTTGACCTCAGGTTCTAGAAAATGGTCATTTTTATGCCTTAATATGCCTATCTTATTGGCAGTAGTAACACAGATTTAAGAAGGCAAGGTGAAAAAATTTACCAATTATTAAGCTGTGTTATTCCCAACTCATTTTCCTTGTTGAGTTCTCCATATAAGATTTCTTTTACATTTCAATGACTCGGGATATTTATTAAGAGATTCGTTATGAAATCCATTTGGGGTCAGATTCTTGATGCTATAACGACAAGCTGAATTTAGAACAAGAATTAGCTCAGCAGAGTAACATAATTCTGATAATAATTTTTAAAAGACCAAACTAATTTGTTGTCATTGAATTTCATATCGTATATATAACTACAATATATCTTGAAGAATGGGCGACAAGTTCAAATTTAGAGTTTCAGGATCCAATTCAAATGCAAATTCTTTCAAAGCCCCCACAGGGAAAGCTCTTACTTGGATCTCTGGTAATTTATGATTTCTGAAGCAATCTTTCACTAGTCAGTGAGTTATCATAAGTCTTTCCTTATAATATTGTGTATGTATTCACACACTCACTGATGTAAAACATATTTCAACCAAGTAGTTTAGGAACCATTATAAGTATTAGTTTATTACTTGTCAGAACATACTGAGTTAAATGTCACATATACTATTTCCAATTTCGTAGCTTAAAAAAAAATAATAAAAGCAAAACCAGACAAAACATTCCAGGGAGAATTTGAATACAGCTTAGAGATGTTTGCACCTTGCAACTGACTTTTTTCTGGCTTGGAAAATTGTAGGTTAGGCTACTTGAAATCCCTTTGAGGGTCTGGAGCAATAGAAGGATTTGACCTATACCAAGGCTTTGTTCAAAAATCCCACAACATTTCTCAACTATTTAAAAAATCCATGTCCCTTTTTGGTATACATAAAAATCTTCTTGGGGCTTCCCTGGTGGCGCAGTGGTTGAGAGTCCGCCTGCCGATGCAGGGGACACGGGTTCGTGCCCCGGTCTGGGAAGATCCCACGTGCCGCGGAGCGGCTGGGCCCGTGGGCCACGGCCGCTGAGCCTGTGCGTCCGGAGCCTGTGCTCCGCAACGGGAGAGGCCACAACACTGAGAGGCCCGCGTACCG